ACAATTGGATTTAATTAGTATTACCAGCTGATCCACCAGATTATTTATCAGGCTATATTAAATTAGTCTTAATTTAGCTGATCATATGGCAATTATATATGAATTTTAACTTGATAAAGCTGATGATTTTTTGAAACAGGTCACTAAATACTTTAAATCTATACTGTCTTTGATGGCTTACAAATGCTGAACAATTCAATTACAAAAATATTTGTAATTGAGTTGATGTATGTTATTTGATGACACACAAGAGTTTTTAGCACGTCAGAAATATCTAATGAGTGTCAAAATATTCAATTAAAATTCTGTTACAAAAAATAAATTTTTGTAATAGATTCAATTATAAGAATAATGATAATGATTAAAACTATCTCCTTTCTGAATTACTGGAGGTAATCATATAAAACAAAATCTTTAACTACTAGTAACAAATATGAACGAAAACGATAATATTCAAAAAAGCAATTTTAAATTTTGAACAAGTAAAATAGCAAAACCGTATTTCGGAGACGGAATCACTTTGATATTCAAGGCAGGTCTCGTTCTCATTCTCCTATCTTCTTTGATATCGCTGCTTTTGGGTGTAATTGTTCAAACTTTGCCGGCCACGACCACGAGATCGTCCACGATGCATCTTCAATGAAATTAACCTATCTAAATTCAAAATTTCTCTCCGTTGCATGTTGGCCCGAGTTGAATTTTTGTTGATGTGTAACAAAAAGTTTCCGTTTTTGAAAAAAATAATTGTGTCTATTTTATTGTCCAAAATTTTTTTTTTATTTTTCACAAACAATATACAGTTTAACCCGATTATGATGTCATCGAATGTAATGACAACCCTAATATAACATCAAATTTTTATCGGTCCTATGATTTTACTATACTAGATAATGTTAAAAAAAAATCCACTTGTAACGACATAAAACCGTTTTAACGTCATATTTGAAGCACTCCCAAATTTACAAAATTAGATTACAAATTTTATTTAACATAGAAGAAACCATGTGTTCAGTCCTAAGGTCAGAGTTCACTTCTTTGACTGTGGGTAGTACTCTCTCCTACCTGACTTCGGTGGGAGGAGATGGCTGTTTTGCCTGTTTGTAGAAGAGGGTCGCCATTTAGTATTTTATTTTGACTCGATTCTCTGTCCCCTGACTACTTAAGAGTCTGGCTTTTTTTATGCGCAAATGATTTGGGCACCTAATACTGTGTCAAATATCAACTCTCGACATGTACTCCTTCATACCTCTATGCTTGTAAGAACATCGGGAAGTACGATTTTATAAACAAGACATAGTCTTGTCAATAACATGTAACGTAAATCAAATTCAAACAGTAGAATGACTAAAACTCATAATTGTATGACCCTTTCACATATATACCTTTTTAAGATGTACAGAGTGAATTAATATAGGCTAATTTTGCCTGAATTTTTCATAAAGGTACCTCCACATATGTGATATTGTATTGGTCTTTAAAATTAATACACTTGCCAGCCAGCTTGACTGGCAAGTGTATTAATTTTAAAGACTGCAATACAATATCGCATGCAACTTTAAGTACTGGAGTAATACTGGTTAATATTTGTTACTGGTAATTAAAGGTTTTGTTATATATAATGATATTGATAAATACATAATATAAAATTATTTAAATTTTTTTTTTTTAATATAACTATTTATTTTCAGATAATTATTGTCCAGTTTGGTGGATATGCCTTTTCCACAAAAGCTCTAACTCTAGATCAATGGTTTTGGTGTATATTTTTTGGATGTGGGACTTTAGTATGGGGCCAGTTAATCACAAGCATTCCCACAAAGCGAATTCCAAAGACATTCACATGGGGTTCGGGCCCACCTCCAGAAGAAATGGTAGGAAGCACTTCGCTTGCAGAAGACGGCAGTAATGGTTCCATATCTCAGGATGTTAAGCGCACTGGTCAGATCCTATGGATTAGAGGATTAACACGTCTCCAAACACAAGTATGTTAAAATTTACTTTTATTTTCTGTTGTGTTAATTTTCATTGTTTTCATTTAATATTTCACAAATTATATTGTTAATAAGAAAACTATNAGAATCTTAAAACAAAAATTGACCTACTTTGGACATGTGATGCGTAAAGAAGTTTCCCTAGAGAAGACTATTATGCTGGGAAAAGTGGAAGGTAGAAGGAAGAGGGGAAGGCAATGGATAAGATGGATAGAAGAAATAGAAAAAGTCACAGAAATGAAGCTGGAGGAGCTAAGAGAAACAACAAGGAAAAGATCAAGATGGAGAAGACTTGTCCATGAAGTCACCAGGAGTCGACGACGACTCGATGGAACTTAACAACAAATTATAATCATTAGTGTAAAACAAAATAAGTAATTGTTTTCAAAAAGAAGCTCATAAATATATTTTGTGATACCATATTATATTTAAATATTAAATGTACTGTTGTTCATTTTTTTACTGTTATAATGTACTAGAATTAAAATATCTTCTAAAATGTTTGTAAAATTATTAGTTTTATCTTTCAAATAGATTATGTAAAATATATTATATTGAAATGAAAAATTGTTTTAATACTCGTGAATTATGAGTTAGATTTATAAGAAAAAATGATAAGCAATGTAATATTTAATCAAAATTAGAAGTTTCCATAATAAAAAATTTCTGACTTCTCCATTCTATAAAATTGAAGAAAGTTTCTAAAGGAATGAAGTAATTTCTTAATAAGATTTATACATTTTGTGGATAAATTACTACAGAAAAGTAGAAAATTCCTGCAACAATTAGTTTTAAATGTGTATGAATTAATATCTTTAATAAAATAACATAGAATATGTGATAAGGATATCCTTAAATTTCAAATTCTATATGGAGTTGGTGCCCTTTTTTTTTTTCTTGTTCAAATCAGTTTAATTCATTGTCATAATTGCATTTTAGCTTACTGTCATGTGGAAGTCTTGACAGATCTTGCAAGAAATAATAAAAATCAGCTTTACTGAAAATGCATTAATAATTTTATTCAATCTTACAGAAATAGTTTTGTTTGGTTAAAGATCATTCTTTAAAAAAATAATTACAAGAGTGTTAAGATAGATTTTTTTTTTTTTTTTTTTTTTTTTTTTTTTTTTTTTTTTTTCATTTTTCAGGATTCTGTGATCAAGATGTTGTATAATAATGAATGTCATGCATGTTTAACATTTTCTAGTTGGTTTGTGTGTTTGTGATAAACTTGGAATTTATATTAATTTTGAAATAATTCATTTTGATTTTAATTTTAAATTAATGAACCTACACGCAAAATTATTATTTTAGGGTTATAGTATCAGTCTTTTTAGGTTATTTGTTAAATCTTTTATAATTGAAATTTACAGTTTGGTCAAAAATATTTGGTAAATTTAAAACATCAAAACCCTTACAATTACTAACAAAGTGGGTACATATTTCTGTTAGTTATTTCAAAATCAATTATATTCTCATTTCTATAGTTAGTTAGATCTTCCAGTATCTTAATGGCAGTGCAACGGTGGTGCTACAGTACAGGGAAAAACATGAACCTTCTATGGAAACTTGTGGATAATTTACTTTTGGATTAAACATTTTTTGAAGTTGCTCTACATAAAATCCAATAAACAACTTTAAATTATTTAATTATTCAATAAACAACTTTAAATTACACCAACACTGATATCAAGAATTTCAGAATCAATTCAGCCTTGGTAGAGGAAAGTACTGTGTTCCATTTGATTTGTCCTTGGGCTTAAAGATGTCTTTGATTTCCAAAGAGAAAAATTGCCAATTAGAATTGTTGAACAAAGAGCTTATAATTGCAACATCTCAGGATCCAATTTTAAGTTAATGAAAAGATGGTTCTATGCTTGATCATGTGTTTTCTTAATAAATTCAACAAGATCATAATTTCAAATTACAATTTTTTTATAAGAATACATAGGTTATCTTTGTTCAGAAATGTTCTACATTTGTGAACTAACTTAACATACTGTCATGTTACTAGTATGTAATATAAAAATACTAAATATGAATTAATACAACATTAATTCTCTACCCAAAAGTTGATTTTTGAATATTATTTTATTTCATTTTAAATTCTAATTTTGTTTCAAAAACCAACAACTACAAAACTGAAATACAAACATAATAAGCCAACAACTACAGGATATAATAGCCTGATATAATCCAGTAGTTGTATGAAAGAAATTATTATTTTGTCATACCGGATTTCTATCAGATAAGTTTTAAGATCACTGTCTTTCCTCCTTAATAAACTTTCATTCAGTAGTTGTTGGCTTATTAATTTGTTTCAATACTTTTTTCATTTTATCTTCTTTATTTCTCTTAACTCCTGTATTTATAAATAATTTCTTATAGAGAAAGTTTAAAAGTATATATAAAGATTCAAAAATTTTCTTGTTGATTTTTTAATCTTTAGTATTCTAATTTTTTAATGTTTAGATCTGAAGATGGAATAGTGCAACTTCCAAAAATGTTTATTCTGAAATATAAGTTGTAGAAATCAAGATTTTAAGTGGATTATTTGAATTTATTTTAACTAAACTCTACACTATCTGAACACACTACCAGATTATTAATTTCAGCAATTGCTATAAATTATCTCAAAATAGAGGAAGTTTTGATTATGTAATGTTCTTGTCAATTACAAGTATTTTTTAATTCAGCGCACAATTTTCTTTCCAGTTGTCTTTAAAAAACAAAGTCAATGAGATAGCTTACAATTGCACGGCCAAATTTGAATAAAACAATTTTTCTATAACAGTCTTATTTTTAAAAAATAGTTCTAGAAAAATGTTCTATTTTTTGTAATGGTAGAATCTGATGATGGGAGTTAATATCCCAGAAGACATTTAATCTATATATATAAAAATAAATGTGTGTCTGTCCTTCATGCATTACCACACNTAATTCAGTAGTCTAATTAAAATTCATTTTTATTTATTCTTGATTATAATTAATTTAATTTTTAATTATTAGGTCATAAGTTCTTTGATATTGATTCTGGAATGTATGCACCGTTGCATTCACCTCCATCCGAACATTTTACAATCATTTTTAATACTTTTGTCATGATGACATTATTCAATGAAATGAATGCAAGGAAGATTCATGGAGAGAGAAACATATTTGAAGGTCTCTTCACTAACCCAATATTCTATAGTATTCTTTTGATTACTGCAGGTGCTCAGGTAAGTTATAATTTAAAACAAATATAATGCTTGTATATAAAACAAGCATTATATTATTATTATTATAAGCATTATAAAAGTACATATATTGTTTGAAAGTTTATATTTTATTGATGTAAATGTTGTTCATTATTTTTAATTCCATTAACTGCATATTTCAATTATGAACAATCAAATATTTTTATTTTAAAGAAATAAAGTACAGTAGAGTCCTGCTAGTCCGAACTAAATGGGACTGAGCTCTTTTCGGATTAGCCGAATAATTGAAATAATGCAGAAGCAAGCAGTAAAACAGGTTCAGTTTATATAGATCCAACGCCATTGATGACTTTTGTTTATTTTTGTGTGTAAGTAAAGTATAGATCTGCTGTTTTAATAGGCCATGTCAAACATTGATATATTAATTTTGTATAGTATTAATACAATACTACAATAAAATACAATTTTTTTTTGTTGTGGAATTTAAATCTTTTTGTAGCATTAATATCATTTAAATTCAACTAGAAAATACAAATAACGTATATTTTGCGAGCTAAAGAATTTCCTCTCCACTGACTGAAACATGTTTGGATTAGTGGGACTCTACTGTATTTAATAATAGCTTAAACATTTTTGGATTAACATATTTCATCTCTGGAATATCATATAAATAAATTTAAAAAGTAGAGGTAGTCCCCAACAGAGGTAGTAGAGGTAGTCCTCAACACAATGCATTTTTAAAAATGTATATAAAAATCAAATAGAATTGTATGTTATCAAGATAGTTCTGTTCTTAGAAATCTAAAAAGAAAAATTTTTAAATCTTTTATCAAGATAGTTTTACCTTTTCATAATGAACATGTTACAATGCATGAAACATCGTTTAAAATATTGAAACCATAGGTTAAACAGAAAATAAATAATCAAAATTATTTGTGAAAGTTAATTTTTATGTTAATGAAACCAAACTTGCAGAAAGCACTACTAACAATAGCTTGAAATTTTCAGTTTTTGATTGAAAATATACAAAAGTACAAATTTAGTGTATGAAAGGCAATTTAAAAGTATCACTGTTGTTTAAAAAAGTGAGCTATCCAAATGTTGAGAACTGTCTGTAATGTTTATTTATTACAGTTTAAATTACGTCTACAGGATTTTAGTCATTCCACTAGAATAACCTGAAAATTATTGATTCTACAGAAGAAATCATTGAACCAAAAATGTTATGAGGTCATCAGGTCATCATATCAGTTTCATCATAGATGGTATTATAATTGATGACAATGCAGTCAATTTCATTTTCTCAATGGGGAATCTCCAATTTTTACTGCATATTATGATTCTACACTACAGTACATCAAAAACAAACTTTTAGATAAAACATTTTTTTATTCAGCTGCCACATCACACATCCGCTATACCTGTTGATATCTATGAAGTGTTGATAAAAAGGAAGAAAAATGCTAAACATTCATTAGGAAAGTATTATTTGATGGATTCATTTTTTTTCTTATAATAATGAACTGATACAAGAACTCAGGCCATGGGTTGAGGTTCGCATAAATTTACTCAATACATTTTTCATTTTAATTAACCAACCCAAAGCATTATATATATATAATTAATTTAGATAAGAGATGGCACCTAACATCTATCTCTAGTAGCAAATTACTTCGGCTATAAATATGCTAATTTCAATAATTAATGCTGAGTATTTAAGGTAATATTTTGGCTATGTATTTTAATTAACTTTTAGCAGAATGCTTAATGTCACAGGAACTCATGTTAATTATAGCAGAATGCTATAATTAATATGAGTGCCTGTGACATTTTTCTTCTATAGCAAATGAATTAGATATATTGAGTAAATTTAAGATGACCTTGAGCTGTGGTATAAGTTTTTTCACCAAATGAGTTTCCTAATGGAACTTTATTTTTTCCTTTAATGAACTTTCATTCATAGTTATATAGGTGTACAGAACAGTAGAGCATCGATTATCCGACCCTTGATTAACCGTCCCCTCAGTTAACCGACCACGTTCTAGTCAGCAAATTCAAATGTCCGCTAGTGATGTGGTGCTACAATATTTGGCTATGTCTTGGCTACTTTAATATTATTTTTATGTGTTTTAGCTGGCAACACTGGCTTGACCATGAAAAGGAGGCAAGTATTTAAACAAGGCTTAATTTTGTAATTATGAGTGGTTGTTTGTTTTGTGAGCAATAAAATAATTTAAAAATAATTTTTAACGATACAATACTGACGATTATTATTTTTAAAAAATTTTTGTTAGGCTTAACATGGAGGAAAATTCAATGCGAAGTTGGTTAATAGCAGTGGTGATATTCAGCGGGTTCGCACAGGTTCGGCCGAACCCGTTGTTAACATTTTCAAAATTTTCCGAACCCGTTGTTAAACACACGTAATATTTTTCAGTGGTTTTGTTTCTTTTAAAAAATATATTAAAATATACGTATTATACTCTGTAACACTACTAAACTAGAGCCTTATACCCCGTTCGCCNTTTTTTTTTTTTTTTTTTTTTTTTTTTTTTTTTTTTTTTTTTTTTTTTTTTTTTTTTTTTTTTTTTTTTTTTTTTTTTTTTTTTTTTTTTTTTTTTTTTTTTTTTTTTTTTTTTTTTTTTTTTTTTTTTTTTTTTTTTTTTTTTTTTTTTTTTTTTTTTTTTTTTTTTTTTTTTTTTTTTTTTTTTTTTTTTTTTTTTTTTTTTTTTTTTTTTTTTTTTTTTTTTTTTTTTTTTTTTTTTTTTTTTTTTTTTTTTTTTTTTTTTTTTTTTTTTTTTTTTTTTTTTTTTTTTTTTTTTTTTTTTTTTTTTTTTTTTTTTTTTTTTTTTTTTTTTTTTTTTTTTTTTTTTTTTTTTTTTTTTTTTTTTTTTTTTTTTTTTTTTTTTTTTTTTTTTTTTTTTTTTTTTTTTTTTTTTTTTTTTTTTTTTTTTTTTTTTTTTTTTTTTTTTTTTTTTTTTTTTTTTTTTTTTTTTTTTTTTTTTTTTTTTTTTTTTTTTTTTTTTTTTTTTTTTTTTTTTTTTTTTTTTTTTTTTTTTTTTTTTTTTTTTTTTTTTTTTTTTTTTTTTTTTTTTTTTTTTTTTTTTTTTTTTTTTTTTTTTTTTTTTTTTTTTTTTTTTTTTTTTTTTTTTTTTTTTTTTTTTTTTTTTTTTTTTTTTTTTTTTTTTTTTTTTTTTTTTTTTTTTTTTTTTTTTTTTTTTTTTTTTTTTTTTTTTTTTTTTTTTTTTTTTTTTTTTTTTTTTTTTTTTTTTTTTTTTTTTTTTTTTTTTTTTTTTTTTTTTTTTTTTTTTTTTTTTTTTTTTTTTTTTTTTTTTTTTTTTTTTTTTTTTTTTTTTTTTTTTTTTTTTTTTTTTTTTTTTTTTTTTTTTTTTTTTTTTTTTTTTTTTTTTTTTTTTTTTTTTTTTTTTTTTTTTTTTTTTTTTTTTTTTTTTTTTTTTTTTTTTTTTTTTTTTTTTTTTTTTTTTTTTTTTTTTTTTTTTTTTTTTTTTTTTTTTTTTTTTTTTTTTTTTTTTTTTTTTTTTTTTTTTTTTTTTTTTTTTTTTTTTTTTTTTTTTTTTTTTTTTTTTTTTTTTTTTTTTTTTTTTTTTTTTTTTTTTTTTTTTTTTTTTTTTTTTTTTTTTTTTTTTTTTTTTTTTTTTTTTTTTTTTTTTTTTTTTTTTTTTTTTTTTTTTTTTTTTTTTTTTTTTTTTTTTTTTTTTTTTTTTTTTTTTTTTTTTTTTTTTTTTTTTTTTTTTTTTTTTTTTTTTTTTTTTTTTTTTTTTTTTTTTTTTTTTTTTTTTTTTTTTTTTTTTTTTTTTTTTTTTTTTTTTTTTTTTTTTTTTTTTTTTTTTTTTTTTTTTTTTTTTTTTTTTTTTTTTTTTTTTTTTTTTTTTTTTTTTTTTTTTTTTTTTTTTTTTTTTTTTTTTTTTTTTTTTTTTTTTTTTTTTTTTTTTTTTTTTTTTTTTTTTTTTTTTTTTTTTTTTTTTTTTTTTTTTTTTTTTTTTTTTTTTTTTTTTTTTTTTTTTTTTTTTTTTTTTTTTTTTTTTTTTTTTTTTTTTTTTTTTTTTTTTTTTTTTTTTTTTTTTTTTTTTTTTTTTTTTTTTTTTTTTTTTTTTTTTTTTTTTTTTTTTTTTTTTTTTTTTTTTTTTTTTTTTTTTTTTTTTTTTTTTTTTTTTTTTTTTTTTTTTTTTTTTTTTTTTTTTTTTTTTTTTTTTTTTTTTTTTTTTTTTTTTTTTTTTTTTTTTTTTTTTTTTTTTTTTTTTTTTTTTTTTTTTTTTTTTTTTTTTTTTTTTTTTTTTTTTTTTTTTTTTTTTTTTTTTTTTTTTTTTTTTTTTTTTTTTTTTTTTTTTTTTTTTTTTTTTTTTTTTTTTTTTTTTTTTTTTTTTTTTTTTTTTTTTTTTTTTTTTTTTTTTTTTTTTTTTTTTTTTTTTTTTTTTTTTTTTTTTTTTTTTTTTTTTTTTTTTTTTTTTTTTTTTTTTTTTTTTTTTTTTTTTTTTTTTTTTTTTTTTTTTTTTTTTTTTTTTTTTTTTTTTTTTTTTTTTTTTTTTTTTTTTTTTTTTTTTTTTTTTTTTTTTTTTTTTTTTTTTTTTTTTTTTTTTTTTTTTTTTTTTTTTTTTTTTTTTTTTTTTTTTTTTTTTTTTTTTTTTTTTTTTTTTTTTTTTTTTTTTTTTTTTTTTTTTTTTTTTTTTTTTTTTTTTTTTTTTTTTTTTTTTTTTTTTTTTTTTTTTTTTTTTTTTTTTTTTTTTTTTTTTTTTTTTTTTTTTTTTTTTTTTTTTTTTTTTTTTTTTTTTTTTTTTTTTTTTTTTTTTTTTTTTTTTTTTTTTTTTTTTTTTTTTTTTTTTTTTTTTTTTTTTTTTTTTTTTTTTTTTTTTTTTTTTTTTTTTTTTTTTTTTTTTTTTTTTTTTTTTTTTTTTTTTTTTTTTTTTTTTTTTTTTTTTTTTTTTTTTTTTTTTTTTTTTTTTTTTTTTTTTTTTTTTTTTTTTTTTTTTTTTTTTTTTTTTTTTTTTTTTTTTTTTTTTTTTTTTTTTTTTTTTTTTTTCATTTTTCAGGATTCTGTGATCAAG